GCTGTCGGTCCGTCCAGGGGGCGAGCAGCCTGGGTGTGTCTGGAAGGGACGGCTGCTTGAATGGCAGCTTCCAGCGATTGCACGGACAGGAAATCCACGAGGGACTGTGACAGCGTGCGCAGCCAGAGCCACGGGGCCCCCCACTGACCCGACAGGGAGACTGGCGCGGGGCAGGGGATGGTAGGAGACGCCAGGGATCTGGCTGGACGGGCAGGGTAGGGTCTAGGTAGGTCGTCACCCCAGAGTCTGCTGGCGGGGGCTGGCTCTGGGGCCGGCTACAGGAATAAAGCGGCCGGCAGGTCAGAGGGAAGGAGCCTGGCAAGGGGCAGGGAGCTGGCAGAGAGACTCACTTCTGAGCATCGATCTCGCTGGCTCGCTCCTTAAACCTTCGCTCCCTCCCGGCTGCCTCCTGCAGCTCCCGTTCCCGGCGCTCCCTGTCCAGCCGCTGCTGCTCCTCCCCTGCTCGCCTCTTCTCCTCCAGCCGGCGGTTCTCCTCGTCTTTCTGAGGGCGAGAGGGCGCCACGTCCGGTCACAGCCGCGCAACCCCCACCCTCTTCCCCACCGGAATCACCCACATCCCGGGAGACTGCAGCCTCCACCGCCCCTCGGACGCTTGGCCAGTGACTGTGCACCCTGGCTGCTCCAGCACCCCCTCCAGTTCCTGCGGCCTCCAAGAGCTCCCTGTGGAGCGCAGAACCCGAACCCAGCACCTGCCCTCCAAGCCCTGCTGGCTCATGTAAGCAACCAGGCCCATCCCCTTCCCGACGGGACCAGAGAGCAGAACTCCCGGACCGGGGGCTCAGGGCTGACTGTAGCCAGCTGTGATGCAAGGGACCTAGCGCCCGTACCCTGCCAGGCACCAGTGTGAACAGGCTGGCGTCAGCTCAGTCGGGTAGGCCCGTTACCCTGGCCATGGATAAGTGGCCTGACAGTGCCCTACGCTCTGGGGAACCAGCACAGCCTGCCCAGGCGCCGGGTGGAGCGGTGAACGGGGGCGGCCGCCCCATGCGGAGCACAAGGGGCAGGAAGGTGTCACTAGCAATATCCACGATGGTGCTCAGGCCCAATGACAGGGCAAAGCCCCATGGAGAGGAGCGTTCCCATCACTGCAGCTCTCCCTTTGACCCGTCAGCTCCATCCTTAGCTGGCGTCTGCCTTGGGCATTGAGGGACCCGGACACCGGGCCCATCGGCCTGCCAGAAACTGGGCTGGTCCTGTCTCTTACCACCATGTCCCTAAGGGAGGGTGCAGCTACGTCCGTCTAAGAGCTTATGCCAAGGCCGTGGCCCCAGGGCCGCATTAGTCCGATCTGTGCGGCTCGGAGCCTCCCTGGCTTTAGGCCCTATGCACAGAGGGCCCCTGTGGGAACTCCTGGGGGTTAGTTCTGGGACAAGAACCTCGTTCCCCTCCGATCGACTGGCCCCAACACAAGGGCGACCGAGTGTTACAAAGCCCCGATAACTGGCCCTCCGCGGGGTGGCCACGCTCCCAGGGCCGCATTAGTCCGATCTGTGCGGCTCGGAGCCTCCCTGGCTTTAGGCCCTATGCACAGAGGGCCCCTGTGGGAACTCCTGGGGGTTAGTTCTGGGACAAGAACCTCGTTCCCCTCCGATCGACTGGCCCCAACACAAGGGCGACCGAGTGTTACAAAGCCCCGATAACTGGCCCTCCGCGGGGTGGCCACGCTAGCGAACACTCCCCCAATCGCCTCCCTTTGCTACTCGGGCTCCGCTCCGCTGCAGGGACGGCTGGGCTGGCAGCGGGCACAGAAGCCATGAGCACGGTGGCGTTGGGGGAGCAGGGGGGGGGCAGGGGCCGCGGCC